GAAGCCTCTCCAAGAGGTCGCCAGAACTGAGGGCATTGTTAGAGTACATGTTCCCTTCTCTTTCTCTGATCTTTCTCAGATTGAAAAACGCTTAGGCTCTTTCTTCTCCGATCCCAATGTCTAGATTAAAGAATTCCACTACTTTACTAAGTCCTATGATACGACCTGGTGAGACATCTACACGATTCCCTCCACCACTCTCTCCCCAGAGGAGCGTCAGAGGGTCTGGAGGGCAGCCCAAGTGGCAGCAGATGATTTCCATGTCAAAGACCCGACTAGTAGGCACACAGGGAGTACCAGACAACCAACCTAATTGGACTTACCATGACGATGACCCAGGCAGGGAACTTCAAGATTATATGATTGTCTCATAGAAGGCTTAAAGAGGATTTCCCAAAAGACAGTCAATTTTGACAAGATCAGAGAGATAACTCAGGGACCCCCAAGAAAACCCAGCAGTTTCTTTCCTGATTGACTGATGTTCTTCAGAAGTATACCAAGATTGATCCTACATCTCAGGCAGGCATGATTGTTATTGACATTCATTTCATTTCAGTCTGCCCCTGGCATTAGAAAAAAACTTTAAAAGGTCAAGGAGGGACCCCAAGTCACACAAACCGAACTCCTCAACGTCACCTTTAAGGTATTCAACAACAGTGAGAAACAGGCAAAACAACAGAAAATGGCCAATTACCAGATGCTGGCTGCAGCCCTAGGGCAAACCACCTTCCTACAAGAGGACATTCACCTGTAAAGGGCTCCCCAGGGCTTGCTTTAAATGTGATCAAACTGGGCACTGGGCCAAAGACTGCCCCAATACCAAACCACCGCCTGGCCCCTGTCCTGACTGCAAACAGATGGGCCACCAGAGGGTTGACTGTCCTCTTTGCCAAAAAGATTAAGGGGCCATCCCCTCCTCAAACCCAGGCAGCAGGTACAGAGACATCCCTGTCAGAGCTCGTCAGCCTGGTGACGGAGGATTGATGGTGCCCAGGGTCACCTGCAGCCCCCACAGCCATCACTTCCAGCGAGCCCAGGGTAACTGTCAACCTCTCAGGTAGGCCTATTTCGTTTTTGGTTTTTTTCCCTTGACACGGAGGCTACATACTCGGCCTTACGACAATACTCAGGCCCTACTCGTTCCTCCACAGTAACCATTACAGAGGTTCAAGGGATGCCTTCAAACCCACTAATCGCCCCACCCCTAACCTGTTCCCTGTTAGGCAGCACGTTCTCAGTTTAATTATCCCTAGCTGCCCCACCCCCATCCTGGGCAGGGATATCCTTTCCAAATTTAGAGCCTCCCTCATTCTCCATCCCACAAATTTAAACCCCAGCAACATTCTGCTGCTCCAGGCTGCTCTCTTGACAGATCTATCCTCCAGCTCCTCTGATACATCTCTTCTATATACGTCAATCCCTCGGTATGGGATATCTCTACCCCCTCCATTGCCAGTCACCATTCTCCTAATCTCCTGCAAAGAAGCCACTCACTTCCCCAACATCCCCCAATATCTCATAGCTCTAAAACATCTACAAGGGCTCAAACCCCTTGTCACAGACCTCCTAAACAAGGGACTCCTACGGTCCACCCATTCCCCATACAACAATCCCATTTTGCCAGTCTTAAAGCCCAACCGCTCCTACTGATTGGTCCAAGACCTGAGGGCCATCAATGCTACCATTCTCCCCATACACCCTGTAATTCCTAACCCCTACATGCTCTTGTCCCACATTCCGTCTTCCTCTCATTACTTCACTATCCTGGACCTTAAGGATGCCTTCTTTACAATTCCCTTACACCCAACATCCCAAGACCTTTTCGCCTTTACCTGGACAGACCCTGATTCTGGTCATTCCCAACAACTCACCTGGACAGTCCTCCCACAGGGGTTTTGGGACAGCCCACACCTTTTCAGACAGGCCTTTTCTGCTGACCTTCTGATGTTAGATTTATCGCCCTCTAAACTGCTCCAATACGTGGATGACTTACTCCTACACAGTCCCTCCCTTGAGCTCTCCCAACAACACACACCCTCACTCCTCAACTTCTTGTGCCAACAAGGGTACCTACCGAATCTCAAAAAACAAGGCCCAACTCTCCCAATCCACAGTCCAATGCCTTGGGGTGAAGACCTCATACTAGAAGCGAGAGATCACATTGGACTGCAAACAGCTTATTTGAGACCTCCTAGTTCCTTCCTCCAAAGCCGAGATTCTGTCTTTTCTGAGACTCTTGGGCTTTCTTTGCCTATGGATAGCCAATGTCAATCTGCTTGCCAAAGCCCTATATGATGCTTCCAAGGGGGCCCATTTGAACCTGTAGACAGCGTATCCATCAGAGGACTGTTTCATAAACTTCAGGCTGCTATTCTCTCTGCCCCAGCATTAGCTCTTCTGGACCTTCAAAAGCCATTCACCCTCTATGTCATCGAGTGAGCAGGCAGGCATTGGCGGTCTTGGGACAAAACACTGAGGCACATTTCGCCACTATCGCCTACTTATCCAAACAACTCGATCACACCGTCAGGGGCTGGCCCACATGTTTATGTGCCTTGGCAGCTGCTTCTCTCCTAGCCCAAGAAAGCTCTAAATTAACTTTTGGCCAACCAATGATAAAAAAGTCACCCCACTGCCTGCAGGACTTACTCACTCACTGTAGTCTCTCGCGCCTGTCACCATCCCGATTAGAACTTTTTCATGCTACCTTCATAGAAAACCCATCCTTCTCTCTTTAGTCCTGCCCCTCTCTTAAACCAGCCACTCTCCTCCCTGCGGCTGCTTGGGCACTCTCCCACTCCTGCACAAAGACAATCGAAGACCTGCTCCCCTCCCTTTCCAATGGCTCCTCAGAAGCCATCCCAAATCCAGAGTTCACATGGTTTATTGATGGCAGCTCAATTCTCACTCATGTACCAAGCCAAAAAGGGGGCAGGATATGCCATGGTCTCTCTCACACAGATCACTGAGGCTAATACACTCCCACTAAACACCACCTCCCAACAGGATGAACTGATTGCTCTCACCCAAGCTCTCACTCTGGCTCAGAATAGACTAGGCAACATCTACACTGACTCCAAATACGCCTACCATATCCTACATTTCACAACTGTACCTGGAAGGACAGAGGCTTTATGACTACAAAGGGAACTCCCATTGTCAACAGGCGCTTAATACATGCTCTCCTCAAAGCAGCAACTCTTCCAACACAATCCTCATCTCCCACAGCCCAGGGAAATAACAAGGCTGCTGATCAGACCGCCCGAGGGATGGCACAGTCCTCCATTTCTCAAAACCAAATGTTAATTATCCCACATCTGGAGCCCGAAACACCCCCTAGGAAAAGGCCACTTACACAGAAAAGGGTGTTACACTAAGAGATAACTGGCTCCTCTATAGAGGATGCCACGTCATACCACCTCCACAACTCACTTCACATAGGGACCCAACCCCTCCTACACCTTCTTAGGCCTTTTCTATATCATCCATCTCTGACAACACACACACTAGCTGTAACTCAGGCCTGTTCCATCTGCTCCACCACCAGCCCCCAAAGAAGTCTCCAGACACATATGGGAACTCATCAGTCCCGGGGACAGCTACCACGGAAAGATTGGCAAGTTGATTTTACCCATATGCCCCCCATCAAAAGGGTCAAGTATCTTCTGACCCTGGTAGACACCTTCACGGGGCGGATAGAGGCATTTCCATGTACATCGGAGGGAGCAGCCGCTGTAGTCCGTGTACTCCTAACAAAGATCATTCCTCAATTTGGACTCCCCCGCTCCATCCAATCCGATAATGGACCTGCCTTTGTCTCCCCGATCACCCAACAGGTAACAGAGGCACTCAGCATACAATGGAAACTCCACATCCCCTATAGGCCCCAGTCATCAGACAAGGTGGAATGGGCCAATGGGCTTATTAAGACTCAGTTAATTGGGCCGGAGATTTAGCTCAGTGGTTCCTGTGCCTGCCGAGCAAGTGCAAGCACAAAGTCCCAAGTCCGAATCCCAGTACCGAAAAAAAGGACTCAGTTAACCAAACTTTCCATGGAATTAAAACAAAGCTGGGTCTCCCGCCTCCCTTTGGCTCTCATGGGGCTTCGCTCAACTCCTCAAAAACCATCAAATTTAACCCCCTTTGAGTTAATATATGGGTGACCCCTCCTATTCTCCAACTTACCTGATCCTTCGCCACCTCTCACTGATTACATTCCAATGCTCAATTACACTAAAATTACCGGTGTGCATCACCATGTTCAGCTCATATTTTACTTACCTTTTTTTCATCTTCATTAAACAACTGCTTTCTAGCCACAGTTCTCTGCCTTTCTTTCTTAGCCCTATGCTTCAATTTCTTCTCAGACTTAACGGCTCACTTAAAAACTCAAGCTTCATAGACCAAATGGTATTGAGTATAATCAATAGGAATTCTTGACTGTCAAACTGCAGGAAACCCTTTATAAACCATTTTTGTTTTTGTTTTTGTTTTTTTGTACCAGGGATTGAACTTGGGTCCTTGCGCTTGCGCAGCAGACGGCGAAACCACTGAGCTAAATCCCTGGCCCTATAAACCATTTTGTGTTTGTTTTTTGGTACCAGGGATCAAACTCGGGTCCTTGAGCTTTCAAGGCAAGTGATGGAACCACTGAGCTAAATCCCCAGTCCAGTATAAACCATTTTGAATAGAACACAGTAAGTCATTATTTATGCTGCTAAAAGTACCAAGAAATATTTTTCTGAAGCATTAAAATCTCCATTTTTCTAAAATAAAACCTGCCTCGATCATGTTATTCTAGAAAGCACACATTTCTTTTTTTAAAAAGTCCACATGATTACTGTGGAGAATCACTGCTTGAATAAATCCATTAAACCATAAGACAAAAATAAGAATCAAGATATATTATGCAAAGGTACAAATCTCCAATAATGAATGTCATTATACTGTATACCTAAAATGTACTAATAAACCACGAGACATAGTAGATAAAAGCCCACCTCTTCTTGCGTAACTGGAGTCCATATCTTTAAACTGCACCACAACAAAGTCAGAACATTTGAACAAAATACTCTCCATTATTTCTTCACGTTTTGGGCCCGAACTGGATTCTGGACTTTTCTCGTGTGCAGCATCAAGTACCAAATCACACTAAAAAATAAGTGTAAATATTAAAATCATTTATAAAATAAAATCTGATAGAAATCTTTTATTTCATCAAAGTGCTATTCCTTATATGCCTTTGGCAAAGATCATCATCGCAAGAGAATCTGATAACGATGTCCTTTTTTTCCAGAAAGGTGATCTATTATCCATTCTATCATTAAAAAATCCTCAAGTCTAAAGTTTGCTATGGTCTGTCTTAAGTACAATAATAATTATAAAGGGCTGGGAATTTAGCTCAGTGGTGCCATGCCTGCCTCGCAAGAGCAAGGTCCTGAGTTTGATCCCCAGTGCCACACACACACAAAAAAGATAAATAAATAATAATAAAAAAAGAGAGAAAATTAACCGCCCTATCTCAATTCTAGTTCACAATTTATGAAAGCAGCTAAAATATTATAATAAGCACATAAATCAAGAAATCTCGGGCCAGGGATTTAGCTCAGTGGTGCTGTACCTGCCTCACAAGTGCAAGGTCCCAAATTCGATCCCTGGTACAAAAAAAAAAGCAAAATTGATTCTTTTTTCTTTTGGTACCAGGGAATCAAATTCAGGACCTTGCTCTTGTGAGGCAGGCAGGGCACCACTGAGCTATATTCTCGGCCCCAATAAAACGGATTTTTTAAATTGGCTAAGACCAGGCATGGTGGCACACGCCTGTAATCTCAGCCCTTGAGCGAATGAGACAGGAGGATTACAAGGCCAGCCTGGGCTACTCATCGAGACCCTGACTCAAACAAACAAACAAACTTTAGGGTAAGGACCAAACATGAAGCTATTATTTTTTTGGTACCAAGGATCGAAACTCAGGACCTCATGCTTGCCAGGCAGGCGCTGTGCCACTGAGCTAAATCCCCAGCCCTATGAAACTATTTTTTTGTTTGTTTTGAGACAGGGGATCACTCTGTAATTCAGGCTGGCCTTGAACTCACTATGTAGCCAAGGCTAGTCTTGAACTGACTGTGATCCTCCTGCTTCAGCTTCCAAGTGCTGGGATTACAAGGTTGCGCCACCATGTCCTTCTTTTCTTTTTTATTTTTTGAAATGGAGTCTCACTAAATTGCCCAGGATAGCCCTGAACTAACAATCCTCCTGGCTTCAGCCTCCTAAATGCTGAGATTATAAGCATGCACCACCACACCTGGCTCAAAATGTTCTTTTACTTTATAGGAAAAACTATCATACAAGCTTAACAATGACAAATATATTCAGCTCATAACTATAAACTGTTAAGTCAGAAAGTAACAGATACTATTCAGGAAGAGATACAAACATACAGTAATTGATTTACCTTAACAAAAAAGAAAAGAGTAAAAATTACCTTAGGACTGTATGTTTTAAAAACTCCTTCATATATACCTCCATTTTTCACTTGTACTTCACATTTGGATCCCTAAAAACATACAATTAATTTTTAAGGAAACAATTATCTACCCCATCATCAGGGAAAATGTTTTCATTTTAGATTTATAATTCATCAGGCTTCATTCCATAGTAGGTGTCCACTAACAGAATGACAGAAAATTTCAAAATAAAATACACTGACAGCACCTGCCTGGCAAGTGCAAGGCCCTGAGTTTGATTCCCAGTACCAAAAAGATAAATAAATAAAATAAAATACACTAAATCCTTGAAATTCTTCAGGAAGCTCTACTCAGTGTATAGTATGAATTTAAATATTAAACAATTAGATTCCCACACTGTGAATAAAACATTTCTGACCTCCATCTACATTAGATGAAAAGAATGCACGAAAGACAACTGACTATAAACACTATTTCACACACTGCAGAGTTAACAAGAATAAGTATACAGTAAATTACAATAGATCCAATAGTTAATAATGTATCTTTTCTAAATTATCTTGATTAAATATGATCTAACAGTTATCATTTTGAGAATCATCCATTACCATTTTAACTTCATGAAATTGTCTTATTCCACCCGAGGCAATTTATCCCCAATAATATGATAACTTACAACAACTGACGTAAGTATATGAACCATCCTCATATTTGCATAGATTCCATCAAAAGAAATCTGGAATGTTAAAAATAAAATGCACTATTACAAATTAATATTTCTACTTGCATATACATTAAAAATTAATATTTCTTTTGCTTATGTTAAAGTTAGGCTTATAATATCTTACATGTGTTAAAGATTTGATTTACTATAATCTTTTGCTTCCTTAGAGAACAGAGGGTTAAGGTTTTTAACAGTAAAATCATTCATACCAAAAGAATAAAAATAACAAATAAAATCATTCATACCAACTAAGAATGTGACTATGATTACAAGAAAAATAGTAAGAAAAACTAAACACTATATATGAGGAAAGACAGACAAAACCACTGGGACATATAACAAATCAATGGTTAGAAAATGAGGATTCACTTCAAAATGACACAAGGGATTTTGGTGGGTGGTGAAACTGTCCTATCTTGACTGTAGTGGTAGTTACAGGGTTATATGTACTTTGAGGGGTTGGGAGTATATAGCTCAGAGGAAAAGAGTCCTGGATTCAATTCCCAGCATTGCAAAACAAGAAACAAAAACAATAATAAAAAAACATACAGACCTATAGCCTAAAAAGGGTGAAATACATCTTAATAAATAAATGAGGTGTGAAATAAGGACACACTTTTGTATAAGAACCCTCGCTAGTTTCATTCAGCACATCTGAATCAGTGTGTGCTTAAAGAAATGAGGTCAGGGCCAGGGATGTAGCTCAGTGGTTTCCACACCTGCCTCTCTAGTGCAAGGTCCGAGTTCAACCCCCGGTACCAAAACAAAACAAAACAAAACAAAACAAAACAAAACAAAACAAAACTCCTGGTTGTAAAGAAATGAGGTTAGCTGGGTGTAATCCCTGTAATCCCAGCACTCTGGAGGCTGAATCAGGAGGACTGTGGGAGTTCAAGGCCAGCCTGAGCTACATAGTGAGATCTTGTTTCAAGAAAAAAGAAAAGTAGTGCTAGGAATGTAGCTCAGCGGTGCAGCATCTGCCTGGCAAGTTCGAGTCCCTGAGTTCAATTCCCAGTCCAAAAAAAAAAGAAAAGATGTGGTCACCATACCAGTCCATAACATATACATTATGTATTAAGTGTGTGTTCTTCTGATTCCTATGAAGTCAATCTGTCCAATAAAGGTAGAAACTAAAATATTAGTGACAGCTTCTCAGTTAATCAATCATATGGAATTTATGTCATTTTAACTTTATTGATAAAGTTCCAAAACCTAAGACCAGAAGGCCCTTTCCAATGGAAAAAAAAAAAAGGAATTTAAAAAGATTGCACATTAATTAGAAATAAAAAGACCACAGAACTTTTCAAACTCCAGTCTTGTCCTAGTTCTCTTTTGGAGGTTACTCATTTAGATTCGCTTTTAATCATTTACAAGAGAACAAATAATTTATTACACGTAACAAAAATACTACTTGCAGGCAATTTTACATTTTATAGTCATCACCAAAAAACAACACATATAATAATTTTATACTACATTACTGATCTGTATAAAAGTTATTTGTAATAAAATTCAAGGGAATTGGGCCAGGGATTCAGCTCAGTGGTTCCACTGCCTGCCCCGCAAGCGCAAGGACCCGAGTTCAATCCCCGGTACCAAAAAGAGAAAAAAAAAAATTCAAGGGAATTTTCTTAGGCTGGCATTTGGTCTACAGTTAAAACTCATGTTTAAAAAAAAAAAAAAACCTCATGTTTTAGCTACCATTTTTTTCAAACAGGTAACACTGAAGTTACTCACCGTAGACTGAGGCAGTCCTTTGCTACTGTTCCGACCTCTGAAAAAAATTAAATATTTTTATTAAATTCAATGGGCTAAATTAAAAAACAATGTTATTTTTTTCTTTTCAGACACGTTCTCACTATATAGTTTAGGGTGGCCTTGAACTTACCACATAGCCCATGTTGACCTTAAACTCACGGTGATCCTCCTGCCTCAGAAAATTCTAAAATTTCAAATGTCTAATAATGTCATTCAAATAAAGGATAGATCTCTGTGGTGAGGGCTCAGCTACTGTTATGGACTCTAAAGGTTGCCTCTGTATGGCTCTATCTGTGCTTGGCCAGACCAGAGACCCAGAATAGAGAGGGGCAGAGAAAGAGTGGGAAGAATGCGCATTGCATCACAATCAGATACATGATGAGCTGGCCTTGTGGCACATGCCTGTGACCCTACCTACTTGCTACTTGAAAGACTGAGGCAGAAGAATTGCAAGCTTGAAGACAACCTGGGCAGTTTAACAAGAGTCTGCTTCAATCTCTCTCTATATATGGCTTAGCATTCCCTAGGTTCAATCCCCAGAACCACCAAAATAATAATGATAATAATAATTCTTAAAAATGAAATTAAAATAGCCTACTGAAAGAAAAAAACTAACATTAAACCAAAAGTAACCAATCACTAGTGAACTAAAGACCAAATACAGTTTATTCCTGATTCAATGTAGTTCACTGATACCAAGTCACCTGTATTTTTTCCAAGCCTCTAAAAACAGCACATATGTTTGTAACTGCAGAAAAACTGAAAATAACCCAAATCATTCAAAACATTTTCACTTCTAAATAACATGCAATTCTACTAGGATCTGTGTAACAAGTGCCTTTCCTTGCCAACTACCTCCCTCAGAAAAGTTCCAGTACACAAAAACTGGCTCTCAAGTAAGACCTAATAAGGTGGACTCCATTTTCAAGAGAATTTAATTACAAACCAATACTGTCCCTTAGTAACCTGGGAGGTTGGTTCCAGGACCCCTACATAAGCCAAAGTCTAAGGATGCTCAAGTTCTTTTTTTTTTTTTGGTACAAGGGATCAAACTCGAGACCTTGTGCTTGCAAGGCAAGCAGCAGAACCACTGAGCTAAATCCCCGCCCTCAAGTTCTTTAAATAGTATGGTATTTGCATACAACCTATGCAGCTCTAGACTATTTAAAATACCTAATACAATGTAAATGTATGTAAATAGTTGTTAAATTGTATTTTCTTTTTTGGTACTGGGGCTCAAACTCAGGACCTTGCATTTGCCAGGCAGGCGCTGTGCTGTTGAGCTATGTCCCTGGCCTGTTGTTACACGGTATTGTTTAGGAAATAACAAGAAAAAAATTACGTGCATGTTCAAAATAGATGCAAATCTTCTCTCAAATATTTCTGACCCAGGATTAAACAAATCTTCAAATGTGGAACCTGTAGAAAACAACAGCTGACTGTACAACCTAAGGCTTATTCTACTGGAAATGACCTAAGTAATAATAGGAACATTAATAAAGATAATGTTATGTACCTTACAAACATCGGCCACTCTGCTGGACATGGTGGCATACACCTGTAATCCCAGCACTTGGGAGGCTGAGGCAGGAGGACCGCCACAAGTTTGAGGAAAGCCTGGGCTACATAGTGAGTTCAAGGCCAGCCTGAACTACACAGCGAGACCCTGTCTCAAAAAATAAATAAAATAAAAAATAAAAAATTAGTCACTGGAACACTAGAACTACACTCCCATTTAATAAAATAATCACAACACTCAAGCCAAAATTTTAGGTTTAGGTCCAAAGTCTAGCACTCTGACTTCAACAGAGTAACACTGGTTTTAGCTGAGGCCAGTCCTGTGTGTTTTCCAACACTGTTACCTTCCCTCACCTTCTCTCACCTAGAAAATAATTGCTTAGAACAAATGACCTAAGATTACTTTCATTTCTAACATTCTGATTCTGTAACTCTTTATCTCACACACAGTACAAAGAGAGAAATAAAAAAACATGACTAATAACCTGTCATTTTCAGTACTTCGTATGAACCAGATCCTATGGTAAACCTTTCACATTATGTCTAACCACCTCTGCTTTGCGTTAAGAGGAAATTGAGCCTCAGCAGTTAACTTTTTGGACCAAAACCATCCATTTCACAAGCAACAGAGTTGTACTGAAACCATATTTATCTGATCCCACAGCCAAGATTTTCATTTCTGTTATGCTGCCTCTGAAACTGCATCACAAGAAATAAACTACCTGTACAATGCAACTTCACAATGAAGCTAAAAGAATTTCCATCCTTTTTTCAAACATCGTTTGAATTTACTGTTTTTCTTTTTCCCAGGACTGGGAACTGAACCTAGGATCTTTGTAATGAACTACATCACAGCCTCATTTTTATTTCTGATAGCCTCACTAACTTGCCCTGGCTGGGCTCAAACTTGCTATCTTCCTGCCCCAACTTTCCAGCATAATGGGATAGCAGGCATGTGCCACCATACCCAGCTGGTTTGTTTTCTTTTCTTCCCTTCTTTCCTTCCTTTTTGTCTATTTACTTGTAGCTGAGTTGTAAAACCAGTTACAAAGCCTTGAACAAATACCACTAAGTGTCTTTAAACTCATGTAACCTCCCCAAAGAAGCTCTTTAAAAGACTAAAATAGCTAGGGATTTAGCTCAGGGATGCTGCGCCTGCCTCACAAGTGCAAGGTCCTGAGTTTGAGTCCCGGTACAGCAAAAATAAATGAATGAATGACTAAAACACTGCTGGGCACTGTATGATGGTGCATGCCTGTAACTTAGAGGCTTAGTGAATCACTGTCTTAAAATAAAAAAGGGCTGGGGATGCAGCTCAGTGCAAAGGCTCTGTTCAATCCCCAATAAGTCGCCAGGCAGTTGGGGAGGAGAGGACTAAAAGATAACCACTTTTAAAAAGTCATACTTTTTTTGTTTTGTTTTTGGTACCAGGGATCAAACTCAGGACCTTGTGCTTGGAAGGCAGGTGGCAGAACCTCTGAGCTAAATCCCCAGCCCCATACTAACTTTTATACTGATTATAGTTACATCTTTTTTTTTTGGTACCGGGGATCAAACTCAGGACCTTGCCTTTTGAGGCAGGTGCCAGAACCACTGAGCTAAATCCCCAGCCCTAGTTACATCTTTAATAAAGTGCAACTGTTTGACTATACAGGTTTTTTTGTTTGAGACAGGGTCTTGCTATCTACTTCAAGCTAGCCTTGAACTATGTAGCCCAGGGTGACCTTGAACTTGCAATGATTCTCTTGCTTCAGCCTCCCAGAGTGCTGGATTTACAGCCACGCACTACCACATTCTGATGTTTTATATACATCTTACACAAATAGCCTGACAGTAATTTCATAAAATATTTTTAGTGCACCTGCATTTAACTGCAACCCATCACATCTGGTTTTCCACTGTGTTGTGGCATTATGATTTTGAAACATCTTGGATTTGAGACTGATTGGGGGATGCTGAATCTATTAATACCGAACCTCCTAAAAGATCACGATCATATTACAGTCCTAATTATGATCAGATGGATCAGGTATAACCTAACAACCCTACCCAGGAGTCTATGCTTTCAATAGTTACTGAATATGAACTTAAAGCATGATTCAAAGTACCAGTCAAACACACACAAAAAATTAAGGGTGAGGGATAGAGGTCAGTGGCAAAGCATGTTTTAACACATGCAAGACCCTGGGTTCAATCCTCAATGGGGTGGGGGTCACACTTCTGTAAAGAAATTTACACAAACAGAAATGGAGTTGATACTGCGTGAAAATAACACAGGAGGGGCCGGGGATTTAGCTCAGTGGTTCCTCCGCCTCGCAAGCTCAAGGTTCCGAGTTTGATTCCTGATACCAAAAAAAAAAAAAAAAAAAAACAAAACACAGGAGAGAGGAAGTGCATGAGGTATATAAATGAAACAAAACCAGGACCGGGGATTTAGCTCAGTGGTTTCACCGCCTGCTGCGCAAGCGCAAGGACCTGAGTTCGATCCCTGGTACAAAAAGAAAAAAAAAGAAACAAAACCAGCATAACTTGTTCAGTGCTGACGCCAGGTGACAGGTTTATATGGTTCATCATATCATCCTGTATACTTTTATACATTTAAGGTTTTTTTTTTTTAGTTCTTTAAAAAGAAGTTTCTGATGTGATACAATAGGAGGCTGGATCTAATCAAGCTTACTGACATCAGTTTATAGGAAACATGAGGACATAATACATTAATTGATACCATTAGGTTATAGATATCAATTAAATTCAGAATATAGTAATTTCAACATAAAATTATATACTTCCTTTAACCAAAAAAAATGTTAAGGTAAGAAAAATTAGTATGTGTGGAAGAAATATAAATTTAAAGACCCAGGGCTGTAGGTGTAGTGCAGTGATAACAGTGCTTGTCTACCACATGCAAGGCTCTGGGTTAAGCCAGTAGCACAGCAAAATAAAACATCACACACACACACACACACACACAACACACACCCCAAAAGCAATATGTAAATTAAAAGTAACTAAAAAAAATAAAACCAAACATCAGAAGGACTTCCTGATTTCAAATATCTTTTTGGTTTTGTGACTGTGAGGCTGGAACCTGGGGCACTCTACCACTGAACTACATCCTCAGCCCTTTTTCTCCTTTGTGATGGGTGCACTAAATTTCCCAGGCTGAACTCAAACTTGCAATCCTCCTGCCTCAGCCTCCCAAGTACTAGGATTACAGGGGTGCACTACTGCACCCAGCTGATTTCAAATCTTACTACAAAGATACAGAAAAAGTTTGAGGTACGAGCATAAAGACATGAAAAGCAACAGAATGGAACAGAGAGCCCAGAAATCAACCTAAACACAAAATAGCTATCTATTGCTTTTTAACAAGAGTGTCAAGTCACTCAGTGGGAAAAGGTCAGTCTTTCCAACAAACAGTTCTAGAAAACTAGCTATCCACAGGTAAAAGAATGAGTTTGAACCCTCACAAGCAGTTTATGGCCCAAGGCATCATTA